ATTTCATCTCTAACTAGCTTCAAATCAAGAGATTAACCAATGAAATAGTTATACCTTAATTGGAGGATGAATTTGGCATAAAAATCAAGCAAAACCCCTTGAAACAACCTTGATTCACCCCTATGAAGCCAAAATCACCCTTGGTAGTAAGTTTTGGAGATGAGAGTCTGTTTTGGGTGAAAAAGAAGGTAAATAACAAGTACAACCGACTTTTACGAGTTGGGACTGAGTTGACTCGGCTGAAAACTCGATTTGACCACTAATCACTAAAAATCGCATAACTTTTCGCTCGGACCTCCGTTTTTGACATAGTTTTCGTTCACGCGTTCTTAAAGAGATAATCTACAACTTACAATAGAAATACCTCAAAAATATCTTCCAATAAAAGTCAGTTTTTATGTATCCGTAACATAGATATTGATGCTTTTGACCCGTTTCTTTCCAATTGTTTTACCCCGGGCCGCGTACGACGATTCCGACTATTTCATATATAGTTTATTGCATTCGGGTTTGCTTCCAAATTTTACATTTTGATCACATAAACACGTATAAAGGGGATAATTGCAACATATTTGCGAAAGTGTATGTTACAATTACCTCCTCCTTTTGAGTATTCTGTCCTCGGAATCTTCATTTCTCGAATAGCTCGGGATATTTGGCAAGCATCTATTCTTTGTTCTCCCACGTGCAATTCGGACCACGATGATGCTTCCATTTCACTAATACCAATTCGATTGTCTTGTTTCGAAGATTTGCCGTTCTTTCGTTTAAATTTCTTCTGGTTCCTCGATATATCTCAGTCATTCGTCAATCTTCACCTCAGCTAAGGGAATTGTTTCATCATACTTACCCAAACACTTTCGAAGATATCCAACATGAAATACATCGTGAATACCAGACAGCTCTTCTGGATGTTCAAGTCGATATGCTTGTTTGCCAATACGTTCAATGATTTTGAATGGTCCAAAGAAACGTAGACTAAGCTTACCTTGCTTACCAAATCGTAGAATACCCTTCCAAGGGGAAACTTTCAACATAACYATGTCGCCCACGGTGAATTCAATTGGTCGTCGACGATTATCGGCGTACGACTTCTGTCTGTCCTGAGCGGCTTTCATCCTTTCCCAAATAACTTGAATCTTATCATTCGTAATTTGAATCATTTCGGGTCCAGCAAGCACTTTCTCACCTGTCTCACGCCAACACAGTGGAGTTCGACATTTACGACCATATAAAGCCTCAAAAGGCGCCATATCGATAGTCGAGTGATAGCTGTTGTTGTATGAAAATTCAACCAATGGTAGATGCATATCCCAACTACCACCAAACTCAAGGATACAGGCATGCAACATATCTTCTAATGTCTGTATCGTGCGTTTGGACTGGCCATCAGTTTGGGGATGATAGGTTGTGCTCAATGCCACGCGTGTCCTTAGTTCTTGTTGTAAACTGGCCCAAAATTTCGAAGTAAATCGAGAATCTCGATCAGAAATTACCTTCAGAGGAACACCATGTCGTGCAATAATGCCGTCGATATAAATTTGTGCCCATTTATCCATAGAATACGACTCTCAAACAGGCAGAAAGTGAGCACTTTTGGTTAAATGGTCCACGACAACCCAGATGCTGTCGTGCTGACGAGACGTCTTCGGTAGCTTTGTAACGAAATTCATTGTAAGTTCCTCCCATTTCCACACCGGTATATCGAGAGGTTGAAGGCTACCATAAGGTTTTTGGTGTTCAACTTTAACCTGCGAACACGTAACATATTGTTCTACATATTGGCCGATATCACGCTTCATTCCCGGTCACCAATATTCATATCTCAAATCGTAATACATCTTTGTACTGCCCGAATGCACGGACATCCGCGACTTATGTGCTTCAGATAATACCAATTCTCGAATACCACCGAGTTTTGGAATCCAAACACGGTCCTTGAAGACTTTAAGTCCTCGACTATCATCTRTCAGATACGAAACATAACCAACTATACGCTCTGGTTTCACACGATCAGGCTTCAAAGCCTCTACTTGCCATTTCCGTATGTTGTCAACTATTGTGGATGTCACGGACGTATGTGTAATAGCATAACACATGGATTTTGCATAAGTCTTTCGGCTTAAAGCATCTGCAACAACATTAGCTTTACCTGGATGATAGAGAATTTCACATTCATAGTCTTTAATCAGTTCCATAGCTCGTTGTTGCCTCATGTTCAAAGTCTATTGAGTGAAGATATACTTCAAACTCTTATGATTTGTGAATAGTTGACATTTGGTACCATATAACTAATGACACCATAATTTTAGTGCAAAAATGACCGCTGCCAACTCAAGATCATGAGTTGGATAGTTCTTTTCATAATCTTTCAACTGTCTTGATGCATATGTAATTACGTTGCCTCACTGCATAAGAACACAACTGAGATCCAGTTTAGAAGCATCGCTGTAAACTACCAAGTCGTCACTACCTTCTGGTAAAGCTAGAACAGAAGCATTTGACAAACAAAGCTTTAACACCTGAAAAGCATTCTCTTGAGCTTCACCCCATTCGAACTTGACATCTTTCCGGGTCAACAAAGTTAAAGGCACGAAAATTTTAGAGAAATCTCGTATGAATTGTCTATAATAACCCGCGAGTCCAAGAAAACTACGAATCTTAGATGCATTCTTAGGTTGCTCCCATTTTTTTACAGCTTCAACTTTGGACGGGTCAACCGACACACCGTCACAAGAAATCGTATGACCTAGGAATTGCACMTGACGTAGCCAAAATTCACATTTCGAAAATTTAGCATATAGACGCTCTTGTCGAAGTGTTTCAAGCATCTCACACAAAAATGCTTCACGTGATCCGCTTCAGATTTGGAATATACAAGAATATCGTCTATAAACATGATCACAGATTTGTCCAACATTGGCCGGCACACGCGATTCATCATATCCATGAACGCTGCAGGTGCATTAGTTAAACCAAATGGCATAACTAAAAATTCATAGTGGCCATAACGTGTACGGAAAGCCATTTTTGATTCATCTTCTTCACGCACTCTCAATTGATGATAACCCAACCATAAATCAATTTTAGAGAAGTAACTCGCACCTTGCAATTGGTCGAACAAATCATCGATACGCGGAAGTGGATATTTGTTCTTGATCGTTACTTTGTTTAACTCATGGTAATTGATGCACATACGCATTGAACCGTCTTTCTTCTTGACAAATAGTACTGGAGCACCCCAAGGAGAAGTGCTCGGTCGGATAAAACCTTTATCGAGAAGTTCTTGCAGTTGATTGTTCATTTCTTTCATTTCAGCCGGAGCCAGACGATATGGCATCCTAGCAATCGGCGTTGCATCAGGAATTAAGTCAATTCGAAATTCAACTTGTCTATCAGGAGGTAAACCGGGTAAGTCCTCGGGAAATACATCTGGAAATTCACACACAACCAGTACGTCACTAACCATTTTCTTTACCTCTTTCGACACATCAAAAATATAGGCTAAATAGGAAGAACAACCTTTAGATAGGTGTCTTCGACCTTTAAGCGTAGAAGTCAACTTTACGTCTCCTTTACACTTTTCACCGTAAACGTATAAATAGTTGACGTCGTTCGGTATACGGAATATGCATTGAAAACACAAAATATCAGCCCGATTCTTAGCCAACCAATCCATACCAATAATTATATCAAAGCTATGGATATCCATCGGTACAAGATCTACAACAAAACTCATGCTCATCTAATTGCAACACACAATCTTTGTAAACTTTATCAGCTAGCATAGATGTGCCATCAGCAGTGTCAACGTAAAAAGATTTAGCAAGCACATATGGCACAAAGTTTAAACATCGAGCAAACATATGAGAAACGAATAAATTAGTAGCACCAGAATCAAATAAGATACGAGCGGGATGAGAATTAACGAGAAATATACCCATAACCACATTAGGTTTACCTCGAGCTTCCTCGGTAGTGATTTGAAAAGCTCTGGCCTGGACGCGCGATACCTCCTCCTTTTGACAAGCAGCACCACTAGTAGAAGGTCGGCGAACAGAAGCCTTACTTTCCTAAGGTTTAGATCGAGGGCATTCTCTTTGACAATGGCCTATAGCACCACATGAGTAGCATGTCATATCCCTCCTCGGGCAGTTTGGTCTCCACCACAACCATGACATCTAACTTCAGGGCGAACAGTGTTGCATCGGCCTCGATGAACCTTACCGCAAACAGAACAGGGTGGAGGAGCATTTGACTGAAGGCTATAAGCTTGGGACCAAGATTGAGGTCGTGATCTAGCTTGGGATTGAGCGTATCTCGGATTGAAATTCCTAGAAAAGTGCTGTGTTGGTGCAGATATGGCACCTTCAATTCGAGGTCGCTTGGCTGGTGGAGCTGGATTACGATCCGAGCGGGTCAAATCATGTTCGCACCATCCTGCAGATTCCACCGCTTTCTCAAACTCTGAAATATCACGATTGGCGACGACATCTCGAATCTCTGATCGCAATTCTTGTTCTGTAGTCAAGAAACGTGTGGTAAACTGTGCTTTATGATTGAACTCGGTCTCGTAGTCCACCACTGTCATCTTTCCTTGATTAAGATCAAGAAACTCCTTCTCCAATCGTTTTTGTAGATCAATTGGACAATACTGCTTGTTAAAACGAGTTTTGAAAGACTCCCAAGGCATACCTTCTTTTTTAGTTTCACCTAAAGCTGCAAAAGTAGCATTCCACCATATCAAGGCCCTACTTTGGAACATAGTCGTGGCATAATTCATTTTATCATCACATAGCACTCGGGTGATACGAAATACCTTCTCAATATTCAATATCCATTCAAGTGCCTCCAATGGATCAACCTTCCCAGAGAACTCAGTAGCACCGCTACCACGAAAGGTTT